AGTTGAACGTGATGCTTTGGGTAGTATTTCGGAAAGGAGCCATCGGAGTGTTCTAACCATGAGCTCAAATCGTTTCATTTTGGAATGTAGTCATTGATGTGTGATGGTGCCTTGTTGCATAATAATTGTACATGATTGGCAGGTTGCACAAAAGCATTGACCATCATCCATGGGTAAGATATTATCATGATAAGTGAAACAAAAAGGTTCCTTCTCTTGATCCAAGAAATCAGTTACCACTTTGAGCAAGTCTTTGGGTAGAATGGAATTCCATTCCATTGTTGACAACAAACGTTAGGGCGATCCAATGACAAAATAGCAGAGGTGAATCCTTCGTGCTGCGCTCACAAGATGAAGACACTTTACCCAACCAGGATAAAGAGATCATATCGTAAATGGTGTTTATTTGCCGTGCTTCCAAATAGAGAACTTTATTGGTATTGCATGGGCCTTGGGAGGCGTTATATCATCTTGATATGGTGGGCTGAGGTGGTGGTAATGGGGTATCTTTGCGCCAACATGTATACCATGTCAATTTCAATCATGACACCAACTCCGGCATTGCATATCCATCATGAGAGATGGCTGCACTGAAGGAAATGAAACATGTATGTGAGTACGTGATTTATCAAACAATGTGATCATGCCTTACCTTACCACAAGAGTCAAAACATCACAATGACGGTGACAACAATGGGAGTACGACAACAAAGAAAAGCTAAAAAATGGCTATAAAGACCATCTCTCATCATTGTACACCTTTCTTCATCCTCAACATTCACACAAAACCCCTCCTTTTTAGCCTTTCCCAATTATCCCCGTTTTCTTTTGATACTGCAAAGTACCCTATGCCCACTATGTATCCAAACAGCACCATGTACCCCAATTGTATGTCCATTCATTCCTTTTCATCTATCATTGTATTTCCCAATCCTATCCTTTTTACATACATCTATGCCCTATGAGTGGAGCGCTATACCCTTAGATTGTTGAGGTACTATTGGAACTACACAGTCAAATTTCTCTATTGACCACATTCTCAAACATAAATCTCACATCTCAATGATCGGGAACAACTAGCGGCTTCAGCACTACGATGGGGAGAGCTGATGAGGGATAACCCCTGACCACTTTTCACGAACAAATCAACGACGAAGGGTGTATGTAAAATGAGAAATAGAGGAGGAAGAGCTTGAGTATGCAGAGGTACTGGAAGGAAAAAGCATATTCATACCAAGCAAGGATGAAATGGCAACACGTTAAACAAGCACGTGATCTCTTTCTCGTATTCCCAACTTTAAACGGAGGCTATCGACAAGGCGCCATGCGTCGATTACGGCTTTCTTTTGGATGATGGGATAGGTTGAGATAATAATCAAGGTGCACATGTTATACGTTATGGATCTCGTGTGATTGTCAACTTGCAGCAACTACGTTGATACCCGGATCAAGTTCATCTCTTGCCTTGTCACTTACCATAATTTCCCACACATACTCTTCCATCATATCATTTTTGGTGTGCTACAGCGACAGGGAGGGCACATTTGCTCAACCAGTTAATGTTGTCGGGAACCCTTCTCCATTTCAGTCTTCAAGATTCTCACTTGAATATTTACTACTACCGCCAAGTCCTGCACTAGAGGCCATTCCACTCAACTTCACAGCTATGCTTGACATGAGAGAACAACGCCATAGCTTTCCTTGGTGTGAACAACCTTCTGAACACGCAATATGGCGGAGTGTTATCATCCTATCAGCCTAATCAAGCGCAAATGAATCGCCTCAACAGTTGCCAGCATGTTGAGAAATGTCTTTATTCCGTCGTTGCCATGATCTTGGTTTGCGGGCAAAAAATGATCAGGAAATCATTAAACATCTCTCATCAAGGCTCCCCAACGCAAGGCTGCATTGGACAATGCTTCTGGATTGTTGAGCCATGGATCTTTTGGATCAGCATCAGGAGGCCGTGGCGATTGAACAGACCCGCTTTGCATATACACATCGACCGCGATGATATGGGATTGTGGGAGGATTCGGCTCTTGGTTTGGCACAAGGTGCATCATTCTTTGCATCTGCAATCCGACGACGACATGAAGAGATTTTCCAAAGACAACCACCAATTGTACGCGAGGTGGATCACGTAGCTCAACGTGAAGCAGCATATCAAAACATGGTACAGCATGGCATTGCAGAGGGTGTTCCATATATACAATGAAAGATGTAATCAAGTGACAAGGTGCCACTTGTTGGAAGGTGTTATGGCGTCCTTCAATTTAGACATTTCAAAAATGGCAGCCACGATTCAGGTGATTCCCCATTATCAATAATGTTCCAGACATGGCGGACAACTTGAATGCGTGTATAAACAGGGTGATCGATGATGCAATGAATTGCGAGATCTCCAATGATAGTAGCGATGCAAAATTGTACATCCAACAGCTGATTCAATGCAATACTATGTTCGCCGTAACGTTCGTATCCAATTGCTATCCTTGATGAATAATTTGTATATACACCATTTGCACATTCCCATGATGTTACCCATAATAAAGTCCTCCTTTCATGCACATTTATAAGAGATGTTGGCTTCATCGACCGTGTACCAATCTCGCATCTTTTTTACAATCCCATATCGCGCAAACATGTATATAAGATAGCATCCATCTTCATAAGTCATTATCGTTTTATTGTGCACCCATCAGCAAATGCTCAATACTCTACTACCTCTACTGAAGAAAAAGGATATACCATGCTTCTTTGCGTTATACCACCAAGATCCAGGGCCCTTCGCATGCAAGGTGGCCTACTACACGAAATCACAAAATGAGCATTCCATGAGTAACCCATCATTGTATCTTATCGCATACCTGTTCCTCAATCCGTTCATCACGGTAACATCATAGAATTGTCAAGCACCCATCGCAAGCACTAGATTGCCCATTCACTCTGCAACAATTTCAATACTTTCCCTGAGACGCTACTTCCATAGCAAATCGAAGTAGATGATCATGTTGCTGCTATCTTCCCGCATCGAAAATGAAACTTGGGCCCTATTTTTGATCATGAATATCACGCATATGTATACTCCAATAAAATATACTTACCCTAGTATCCTTTCCATGTATATCAACGCGTTACCCTTCTTTTGTTGTTCGAGTGCTGTATACTGTCAAGCGTTGGTGTTTTTGTTGCAACTGCTATAACGTTGCTACTTTGCCCATTAGCTTTCCTATGTACAAGCCTTTCTCGTCTTCACCTACGCTTAGTCTTCGGTAGTGCTGGAGGCCAGTATGTATTAGAAAGTACACAAGCTGCGTTGTAAGAGTGCCATGACAAAACTATACAGGCATGTGTAAGCAATGGACCTTCAACAATGGAATACAAGCGCAAGAACCAAAGCTCACCACAAAGTCAATCGGCGGCTGCTGTCGATGCTGATGCGTTTTGGAATGTACGAGAGTTGTGAACAGCTTTCAAGAAGAAGGCGGTGGTCGACGAAAGAGTAGGAGTTATAGACAATAGAAAACGGGTATAAGAATAAAACGCAGTGTATAGCATACACTCCATTGCTCACCAATGACCCAATCGTTGAAGACTGCAACTGCTGACATGTATTGGATTGCTTGAGAGTTATTGGCAGCCATGAGATAAAAGACAAGTTGAGGAGTTTGTATAAGAAAAAAAGACGTGAATGTGTAAAAAGTGCTGTGTGTGTAGCCATAGCAACAAGTGTGTCATGGTTGGCAGGTCTCCTTTGGTTCTGTTTTTTTGCACATATACATTCATATCATCTTTCCTTTCAGCATTGCTTCATTCTCGCATACATTCGCCGTTCCTTTAGCTTTTACATACATCTCTCTCATTCAACAATAAATCATGCAAGAGCATCGGACCCTGAGAACCCCTCCTCCCCCTATCTACTCCGCAAAATAAAATGCTAGCAACCGCTTCTACTTGAAATTGCTCCCTAACGACCTCCCCTAATACATTCACGCTTTTTCCATTGAAATCTTTGCGTTTTCCGCTACAATATGATACTAAAATCATCGCAATTCCCAATTTGGAAGTTTTTTGACCTATTATTGCTTTCAAACATTCCGAAAACTGAGACGTAGGGCAGTGTGCTTGTAGCGAGGGTGTCGATGTATTCCAAAAAATGTATTCCAAAAACAGCAATGTCAAGAAGTCTTCCAGCTCAATTCCAAGTTCAATAAGCAATCGCAACTGCTTAATCACAATCCTTCCAATAACAAAGATTAAAGACAATAAAGACCAGGGTTTTATCAAATATTTTCAACGACTCTTCTAAATACTATGCTCAGCTAAACGAGTGGATGATGATGACGATGTTTCAGCTGACAACAAATCTCGACTCAAAATGGCAACTCGAAGGCTGACTACCCCACTACGGCCGTCTCAAAACAAGCGACAATTGCTCGGATGGTGTAGTGGTATCATTCATGCTTCGGATGCATGAGGTCCCGGGTTCAAATCCCGGTTCGAGCCAATTGTTGAGACATTTCCTGCATGTAAGCAGGTTTTGCTCCGTTTTTGGATCCATTTTGGAAATTTTTTTGGTATTTTTGGGATGTCATAGCGAAGGGAATAGACAACGTGCATGAAGGAAGGGCATGGTGGGCAAAGGGGATGTAAAAAGAGGGAAGAAAAGTGTGAAAATGCATTGAACCTAGTTGTAAATTACTAGTAGGGCTATTATACAATCTCAGATTGGACATCTTCAGTGACACCGATCCATTCAAAAGCCAGCATAGTATCAATGCTAGCTATTCTTTAGCTTGTCATTGGATTAAAAGTTTTTTATGAAACAATAGCAAGGGGTACCTTGGAAGTGATGTTCATTGACTTAGTAGTACCCCATGCTGCTCTCTTCCGTAACCATCCATTCACATCTCTGTGTGACGCAAAACAAGTTGTTTATATCCAAGAAGAAGATACAGAGCTATGTACAGATATAGAGGTGAATGTGGAGTGTGGGTCATTAGGGAAAAATCCGCTCGGTGGGTGCAATATCATCATTCGTTCGACGTATCCAAATGAGATTGTCGAGGATGTACTTGAATTCAGTTTCCTTGCTGATGCCTATACGATGGGAGTCAATTGGTTGATGATGCCATTTGTTGTATGCCGTGATTGTGCCTTACCTGAATAATCCCAACCAAATACTTGGTGCTTTGCATTGCAGTAAAGTTTGCCGTATTTTTGGAATTCACTGAAAATGTCTTTGCGAATGGCTGTGAAATGCGAAAAAAGCGCCATAGGATGGCGTGTATCAGGATCATTCCATATGGTCACCAGTCGATCCGTATTCTGCAAAGCCGGTATCAAATTTCGTACCCGAGGCAACTACCAAGGAATCTTAGCCTTCCAAAAAAAGCTTCTTGTATAAAGCAACTTACCATGCGGTCTTTGAGATAGTAGCTGTCATCGCATACAATAAACGTGAAACGTCGAGAGATAATCGTTTTGTGCAATTTGGATGCGTGCTCATAAGGTATGATATAAAATTGATGGTTGGAATAAAAGTCCAATGGTTGTTTCATGTCTTCTTCATCAATAGGATCAAGTGGTGGTGGTTGCGACGACGTATCATCATTATCATCGTTGCTATCACTGTCGTCCTCATCGTCATGATCTTCAGGTGCTGTTGGAAAGTTGATTTTCTTTTGTCCTTTACGTTGTCGTGTTGATTTGGATGTTGCCTTTCTTTTGCGTTTTGTTGCTCTCTTTTGCTTTTCAAATACTGGTTTGATGTCTCGTCGATTCACACCAAGATGAGTGGTCAAGTGGTGTATCCATTTTGCTTGTTCATTGGGTTGACATAGGATCAATACAGGCCGATCGTCTTTGTATACAGCCATGATGCCCAAGGCTTGCATTGTTTTCCCCATTCCAGGTGCGTCTGCCAAAAGTATTCGACCTTGACGGCGTACGGCTGTACGTATCGCTTGTAGCTGAAATGGCTTTAGCTTACGCCAAAATGCTGGATGACGATTCTTGGCAAGAGCGATCCATTCCTCCATTTGGGTCTCTTGGATATCAAGCGTATCATGTGTTTTGCATGTCTCAGTGAGCGCTGCTTCCAATGCATTTGACACCTTGGTTACTTCGAGATTGAGATTGGGTGTAGCTACCGGCAAAACGCGTAGAACCTTATAGTATCCTTGAAGTGTAGCAGGAATCATCCAACGTCCAAGATCCTCATTCCATGTTGCTACTTTGCTGATGGTAGTCAATACTGTCTCGCTTAGGTTGTTGATGCGAATACTGATCTCGTCATAGCTGTGCAAGTTGAATTCAATGGTGGTTTTTGCATGTTGAGGCTGTTCAGTTGTTTTGTTTGATTGAAACTTGCTGATATAAGGATTGCTGGATCGTTTGTGTGGTTGTGCCATCATGTACGCTTCTCCAGGATGGTGGGTATATCGACCTGCAGACGTGTCCCACTTGAAAAAGTTGCAAGTTTTGGTCGAGCACTATTGCCGTCATTAGAGTGTGCCTGCATCGGCTGCGACATGAACACTGCCACTTACCCTCCAATACCACCTGCCACGGTTTTTAGTCGAGTTTTTCACCTCACTGATAACGGCATCATAGCCACATAGACATTTCGTTGCCAATGTTGAAGGCCGTGTCATTTGTGGGCGAGGAGGAGGAGGAGGAGGAGTCGTGTGTGTCAAAAGAGAGAAAGAGTGTGGGACGCGTTCAATTGCCGACAGCAATTGATTTCTCTTGAGCAATCAAAGCCTCCACCAACTTTATAGATTAATGCATAAGGCGTGTAACCATTTAATCAAATAATGCAACTATCTACTACTAGATGGATGTATGTTACAAAACGGGGTATATAAAGTTATCTGATGCACATGTCAATGTTAATCTTTTATGCCAGAGCATAGAGATGAAGATAGCTCGGCTGCCAAGACATCCATGGAAGCTTTCAAAAGGTTAGATGTTGCAGCAGACGCATGGGTAGTCGTAGTCGTATCAAGTCTATGATCTCCATAATAGCATGTTTCAGGCGTGCTTGCTTCACTCGAAATTGCCGTACTACTACTCATATCGCCATCGTCATCGGCATCGTCTATATCCAATGCTTCATCTTCACTTGAAGAAGAGTAATCGATCATGGCTGCAATACGTTGGCTGTTGTAGCGTGCTGCATATCGCCATGCCATACGTTTGAGCGGTGTTTGGTGGTGGTGGATACCAAGGCTATCCAATGCCAAGATACAATGTGGGCACGTGAGGTTGCTAGGCAACGTGTCTTGTGCGATACCCAAACAATCAAAATGAAGCCAGTATTCACAATCGTTGCATTGGATCAAGTGGCCGTGCTCTTTGGTAGGATGATCGCAAATACAGTGGATACGTCGTCGACTTGCATGATCTGATATAGATAAATGTTTCAGAATACTATGTGGGACCCAATAACGGCTGTTGGTGTACCTTCAAGCGTGTTGGACATTTTGCAAGGCGTGTTGTGTACCAATGACTCGATTAGCCTTGCTCCCGGATGAGGTAGACGCTCATTAGGAGGATCGATCAGGATGGCGTGGTTGCCGTTGTCTTGTTTTTCGAGACGCACCGTTGTTTCCAAAGAAAGAAAAATCAGGTACTGTTTCAGCAATTCCATGTTCTTGAGCTGATAAGAGACGACACCAGAGGATGGTGGGGATGGTTGCATATGAGGTTCATTGTTGCATGTAGTAGTAGTAGCAGCAGTACCAGTCACTTTGGATACAGCGTTTGCCATACGTGCCTTGAACGTACGAGCGATGGTATGGATATCATCTGATAATGCACAGCGCGTTTTTGATAGGCGACCCGATGATGACGGCGATGATGATGATGGCTGCTTACGAATGGGTATTTCCACTGATCCTTTACGACGGCATATGCGATTACTACGAGGACTATGTAGGGAGGAACCTACCTATCAATATCCCTCATTGTTGCTTTCTTTATTGTGCTATGCTGTATATACCTCATTATTCTTGACTAGATTCATACACATACGACGTTTCTCAGCTATCCATCGAATCGATATTTAGACAATAAACGTATGTGGATCAAGCAAGCAAAAAAGAGCAAGTTGAAGGAAGCTGCACGAAGTCTTGAAAAATATTGCGGTGATCGGTTAATGATAGACGCTCCGCATCAAAACTTCTCCCTCCTTCCGTGCGGCTCCACCAAAGCTTGTGCGGTGGCTGATGAGATAAGCTGTTCTTTATAGTAGTAGTAGCATGATGATGGGATAGAGATCTCACATAGTAAAGATAAGGAGCTATGCATGTAATTGGCAACAACCCTCATCTCACTGGTAAAAGTGGCGTTGTATAGTCGTCAAGCTTCTCGATCAAAATAAAAGATGGTGCATGTGCTTCTTTCATATCTCAATCCAAAGATCCACAATAGATAATGCCATGCAACGATTTGAGCATTTGCGATCGTTTATATAAGTTTATGTATAGGGATAATGGGATGGTCTGTATAGGTGGCGGGGAGGTGTTGGCGTGCATGATAACTCAGTAGGCAAAGTTGATACATGAAATAAAAAGGATTGCCATAGCAATGTGGTTGCCATGGATAGATTAGCTTGGTGGAGGAAATAGTCTTCGTTGTGCAGGAGACATGATGTTGGATGACAGCAGCTAAACTTGTAGCACCCCCACTTGTGTAACAGTCTTGCATTCATTCACCCGCGTAACTGGGACACGGCGTTTCTTGTTCGTTGACCATGACTACACTCGTCAAGATTTCCACTGCCACTGCCTTAGCTGGTGCTGGTCTCGGTTACGCCTACTATAGTCAACAAAAGACTGAGACACCCAAACCCAAAGAGTTTCCAAAGCATTTCGATCCTCACCCATTCCAACACTTGTCGCAACAAGAGATTGATGCACGGTTACGTAGCGGCCAGATTATCAACAAGAGCAACGCCAAATGGGTCAAGGCCATTTATACCAATCGGATGGCTTCCAATGATCCAGTCGAAGACAACTATAGTGTGAATACTTTCCAGGGCAGTAAACTCCTTGCCGGCGTCTATGATGGTAAAGTTGGGGCCAAAGGGATGTGTATCAATGCATTCACTCACCCCAAAGGCTACGATGACGATGATGATAGGACACGTTGGACCCTTTTGCTCCGAAATGATCAAGGAACAACTTCCAATCTACGTTGTTAGACAACTTGAGCAAGATAAGCCTGAACAAGGAAAGCCCACGGAGAATGTCATTTCAACTGCATTCGAAGTATTGGATCAAGATATTCAACAACGCTTTTATGATCTTTTCCCAAAGAATGTGGCACGCGTCACCGAGAATGATATTCGAGAAGCCATTGCGCGCAATCCTAATGCCAAGACCATTATCAACGAAGCCATCACTGGATCTTGCGCATGTGCAGTGTATATTGACGATGACAATGTGTATGCAGCTAATGCAGGCGATTCAAGAGTTGTTGGTGAGTAGTAATAGTAGACGTACTACATGCGCATACTCATATCTATATTCTATAGTCATTCGCCAGGAGAAGGATGGAAGATGGACTGGAAGACGTATGGTGGAAGAACAATCACCAGCACATCCAGCATGGCGTGCCCATTTGATATCACAGCACCCACCCAATGAGGCCGATGCCATTGTGAGACGCAATCGTATCTTTGGTTTGATCGCTGTTGGAGGATGTAAGCGTATTATGATGGAGGGTAAATGACATGTATTCATCCCCTCATTCTAGGCTTTGGCGATATCATGTACAAGGTGCCAAAAGAATATCAAATGAATGTTCTTCCTTATATCCCCCACGAGATTTACAGTCGATTCGCACGTTATCATCATCAAATCATTCGTAATTATTGGACACCACCCTATTTGCAGTCGAAGCCTCTTGTTGCTCACTACAAGTTACAACCTGGTGATCGTTTTATCGTGCTTGGCACTGATGGATTATGGGATGAGCTTAGTTGGGATTCTGTTCGCAGTAAAAACGGTGACCAAGTAGCGGCTGAATTAATGAGCACATGGCCTGACAAGGAGGATCCAAATGCTGCCACCCATTTGATGCGGCAAGCCCTTTTATATGAAGCCGTGTACAAGAATGTCGGCGTCAAGGAACCCGTGACCGATTCAGTACTTGAGTTATCGAAGCGACTCACTCGCCAACCTTCAAGAAGATATCGTGACGACATTACCATCACTGTAATCGAATTGGATAGCCATGGTGTACATGAAGTGAAGGAAAATGCAGGCCCTGTGTTTGAACCAAAGGAGGTTGATACTTCAAAACCAAGACTTGCAGAGCCTAAAAAATCAAGCTGGTATTCTGGATGGATATGGTCACGTCTATAAAGAATAAATCCACACATTGGCATATGCTCTTTGCACACTTTTCCCCCCAAACATGATGATTTGCAACTTGTTGATGAATAAAATTCCTGCTTTAATGTAATGACAGCTTCTAGAGAAGTGGGAGCACTCGTTGGATGTAGGGCTTAAGGTAGAACAGGCGGCATTCCAAAAATTACAATCTTGCTGTGTTGGGTTCCTAGCCGATATCTCTTCTTTCACACCCACCGACTCATGACTTCAGTAAACGTCAGGACACAAGGCGATGACGAGATCGAAACACACATTTTGTCAGTGGTCGACAGCGAGACGCTCAAAGCTGAGGAAGCACTTGCAAAACAAGTCAAAGGAGTGAATCGTCGCCCGCGCACCCATCGTCGTCTAGTAGGACAGCAACTTGGATTAGCTGAAGATAAAGGAACATCGCAGCAACAGCATGACGTGGAAGAGGAGGAGGATGTAGAATCAGTACCTCGACCTTTATCACATGCCAATATCAGTCAACAACGACAAAGTGAGAGTATGATGATTGATGAGGATGAGATTCAAGTTGAAGAACACGACAAGGAGAATACGGGTCGCGCCTTGTTTGGTTTCACTGCTGGAGTACGCAAAGGCAAATCAACACAATCAATGATGAAAAAGGCCATGGAAGAACAAGAACAAGCAGCAGCAACGAAAGAATTGGCACCATCAGCACGTAGGAAGCGTGGAAGACCATCCAAACAAAAAGACAATGCAAAGGTGGATCATGCTAAACGACAACGGATACAACGACAAATGGAGCTCTTGAAAGACAATCAACAAAGCGATGCAGAAGACAACGCGACCGATACCGAAGAAGAGGAAGAGGAAGAGGAAGAAGATGAAGAGGAAGAGAAGAACGATACACGACAACGAGATGATTCGGATACAGAAGATGTTGGCAAGGTTGATGATGCACCTGGTTACGAACGCTATTTTCAAGATTTACATGGCAAATCAATGACATCCAACAACACCATGTCAAAGCTTGCTGTACTTGAGCCTGCAGAATTCAATGAATTGCTTGAAGGTGCACCAAAAAAGCATTCCGACGACATTCAACAACTTGTTCATATGCACGAGCGACATTATCCACAATGGTTCTTTGAATTGAATGCTGGTTTCAATCTCCTTTTCTATGGTTACGGTTCAAAGCGTCGCCTTCTCAACAAGTTTGCACAAGAAATTCTTACCGATGGTCCATTATTGGTGATCAATGGCTTCTTCCCATCCATTACGATCAAAGACATTCTCAACAAAATCACCATGGGCGCGCTACCTGAAGGATTTGCTCCAAGCAGCACCAGCACACAAGAGATTGTCACTTTTATTTGTGATTACTTTGCAAGTGATGAGCGCATCTACGACAAATTGTATCTTGTTATTCACAACATTGATGGGAACAATCTACGCAATGACCGAACGCAAACAGCACTTTCAATTCTCGCACACGCACCCAACATCCATCTTGTTGCCTCCATCGACCATATCAATGCACCTTTACTTTGGGACAGTATCAAAACAAGCCGATTCAATTGGGTATGGCACGATGCTACAACATACGATGATTACATTGTGGAAACCAGCTTTGAAAACACATTGCTTGTACGCACGAGCGAGATGGGTGGTGCAAGAGGTGCTCAATACGTATTACGATCCTTGACCAGTAATGCTCGAGGTGTCTTCCGAGTCCTTGCCGAATCACAGCTGATAGAAATGGAGATGGCCAACTTTGATCATGCACGTGGAAACGATTCAGTTGGATTGACTTATAGCCGATACTATGACATGTGCCGAGAAGGATTCTTTGTCTCCACGGATGTTGCTTTTCGATCACAGCTTACTGAGTTTCACGACCATCACATTATCAATTCCAAAAAGTTACTCGATGGCACTGAGGTCTTTTTCATTCCATTGGACAAAATGACATTAACAGGCTTGCTTGAGGAAATGGCTGATTAAATAATGAACCCCCCCCCAATTCTACCCCCTCTTTGTATATATACTCTTCCATTGCATTCAGTAGCAGCATTTACAGCATATTTGACTAAATAAAAAAGTGCATCTTTATACTAAAGTTGGTAAAGTTACACCATTGGAAGCATCCAAGTAATGCACAATAAAATACATTGGTGCTCATTTTGGTACAAAAGTGTGCTTGTCATACGTAAACCAAAAACTCTTTACAAGGTTCAACCAACCTCATCATCAATTCCTTTCTTTTTCTCCCATGAAACAACCCATCATCCCAACGAATGGTACCATGGCAACTCGAATGCTTCGTATCATCGGGCCCCTGTGTCTACTCGCTTTCATTCTTTTGTATGTGTATTTCTCTACTTCAACACCTGCGCAACAAATGACACTACAGCCGGAGAACAATGAAATTGGTTCATCACCCAAAGAGACATTATTGGCACCTGTATCCCAGCAACACTACGACGACGACGAAAACAACAACAATGAAAATGTCGAACCCAGACCCACTATCAACACAATCGCTGTGGAGGAAGAGGAGGAGAAGGAGAACAATGATGACATACCAGATGATAACAATAATAACAACAATGAACCTCGCCATTATGGCTATGTTTTGATTATTGCTTCAGAACCACATCAACAATCACGGCGTGCTCTTATTCGTGAAAAGTATTTTGGATTACAAAACAATCTTGTGCCATGCATGGAGTACGACACCGATATCTATTACAAGTTTTGGATATATGGTAAAACTACTACTACCGATGCGCAGCAGCTTGAATTGGAAAGCGTTGAATGGAACGACATTGTACAAACAAACGAGGCAGGCTTTGATCAAGAAAAACTTTTGAAATGGGTAAATCACATGTCACCTGCATGGATCGTCACCATTGCACAAACTCTAATATGGCAAATTGTACATAGGCATCTCGAGAATTGATGGTGACGTATGATTATTTAATTATGCAAGACATCCATACCTTTATTCATCTACCCACCATCAAGCGAGAATTGGACGCGGGCTTAATTGGTGATGACAGTGATCAGCCTTATGTTGTTAGCACCGAACAACCTCTCAACTTGGTTTGGGGCAGCTTTACAGGTCGTAAGGTGGACAAGCAAGCAGCCGTTATTGGTGCCACGGCGACAGAGGTGCTTTTAAACAATCAACATCAGCAACGCCGTCTTGCGCGTCGATCCATGCATTTCTTGACCAACATGTATTGGTATTATCGAGCCGTTGCCAAGGACTTGATGGAGGAAACGGATGCTACGCTTGGCCCTGAAGAAGCGATTGAAGAACAAGCACGCATTATCCCATCCTTTGTGCGTCAGAATTTCATGATGCAATGGGAAAACAATATCGAGTCGGTGCAAGGACAAGGCTGTGTGGTAGCCAATGTATTACAGGATGATGATTTTCGAGAATTGGCAAGCTGGACTCGTTTACGATCACTTCCCGTTTGCGTACATCATCGAAGCAGTGGCTATTATTATCATCAGGAACTCGTTGTGATCACCCCATCATCGTCATGTGCAAAGAAGGAAATGATTGAAAACAAGCGTGTTTATGCATTGCGCCACGGCTACGTTTTTGTCGCACGGTCAGCCGAATTTACCCAGCAACCACTCAAAGGTCGTGATAATGCATGGGGCATGATCGATGTCATGGAAAAGGCATTGCCAAAATACAAGTGGTTGCTATGGCTCGATCCAAAAGTTAAAGTGCAAGACATGGAACAGCCGATACTATCCTCCACAAGAGAAGAAGATAATAATAACATGGATGGTGGTATGTATGATCTGGTGATGGATGAACAAGGAGGCATTGTTTTGCTACGCAACTCGGTATGGGCAAAGCAGTTCCTACGTGATGTACAGCTACAAAAAGATCATGATCCCGTCACTGCCATGACCCTTGTATTACAGCAACCTAACAACAAAGAGCATGCATTGGTGTTGGAGGATTTTGGAACGTATACAGGAGGAGCAAGTAGCCAATTTGCTACCTATTCAGACGACGACGACGAATGCCGTAAAAGATGATGAAGATGTTTATATCCAGAGTAGCAGCTGGTCTGGTGCTTTAATGAATTGTAATATAGATGATGATGATGAATAGTATCAATGAAGAATTGCATATCGTAGTATGATGTATTACTATTTGGCACTAGTATGTAGCTATAGGCGTGTATGTATATGCTGTGGAACGATTTCCGGCGGATTGTTTTCTTCCTTTCCCGCCTTGGCCCCTCCACCCCCCCCCGAAACGGCTCCCCAAAAAACCGGAAACGTTTAACGATAAATGCGAAAA